ATACATCAAAAAAAAAAAAAAGCTAACTCACAAATATACATAGCATGTACACCAAAAAATTAAAATATAATTGTCAAGTTTCTACAACAAATAACAAATCTACTATAGGATGAATCCCCCATTTGTGATAAGTTTCACAATGAGTAGCATGCAAGTCCCCTATAGATGGTGAGTCTTAGTGATTACATACTAAAGGAGATAGTGAGTATTTAAGCAATCAACCCTATGAGCTAAATCCTCTATACAATAAGATTTATAATGAGTAGCTAATGAATTCCCTACAACTGGTGACTTTAGGTTGTTACCCTTATAAAGGCTAACATCCTAGTATAAGGCGTGACCCATTGAAGGAGACATCGCATACAACATACCAACTATGAGGTTGCTGTATAAAGAGTCGTAGTCATCTTGCACACTCATTAACAAAAAAATGGAATCATAGAATATTGGTCACACTTTGCTGAGACAAATGATTTTATTCCCACTAACAAACACTTTAGGGTATCCTTTTTCTACATTGCCAAGTTCAAGTCCTATAGGAACTCACGTTGAGTCCTAACATTGCTACCCTTATGGAAAGCCCAGGCATAATCATTATCTTATTATAAATTTAGATTTTATTTTTATGTTTAGTTCAAGCATGAGGAAATCTCATTAGGTGTGCATGCTCTAAAAGGCGAGCTTAATACTTATGAGTTTTATTAGAATTTTACAAATATTGAGCCTATGTTTGATAAGTTATTATTATTTTACAAAAGATCTTTTAATTTACTTCCTGAATTGGTTATTAAAAATATAAATTGGCAAGTTCAAGGCCTATGAGCATTTGTTAGAAAGTCATTTTCTTACATGGACCAATACCCTTATACATCCTTACTGTTTGGCTATAATTATATACTAGTGAATGCCTTAGTAATTTATAATTATTATGGTAAGTGCATTCACATATTGCTTATAAGCGAGTCCTATACTTAGAAATTTTGAACGATGCTTGTATATTATAAAGAGAATATTAAGATTAAATTTTATTTTAATTTAATTTCATTTTGAAGAATTACATGTACAATCATACTTTGTGTTATTTTTTTATTAAAAAAGATAGGCATGTGTGGCTCAATCACTTCTGGCATCTGTATCATTACTCTCTTCTTCTATAAAGAAGTGCTCAAAGAATTTAGCTATATTTTGATACATTGGGGTGAGTGCACCCATCAAAGTGAGTTTCTTCAGACAATACTTGATTCTAGCTCTATATTTATTGGTAAAGATTTCATCATACTATCCATCAATCATGAAGAAGGTCCATATATTCTCAACAAATTTAACCTCAATAAGTGCCTCAGTGGCCTTCACCTCAGCCTTTTTCTTTGTCTCTACAGTCAAGTTCTTTAGAGTCCTCTTCTTATCCAACTTGCTCTAAGAGACTCCCTTGTCTGAGCGAGTTTGTCCTCCAGCTGCTTCATCCTATCTAACAGTAAGTCTTCTTAGAGTGTTCTTCTTCCAGGAATATTTGGAACTCTAAGTAAGTTACTCAAAGCTATGAACCTTTGTAAAGGCCCGATGATAGGGATAAGCTAGGAAAAATGAATCCTACCAAGCTCACCCCATTACATTGATCACTTAGAACCCATAATCATTGATGGGAAAACTCTCTAGGTGCTCTTTGATGTCTTGTTTAAAGCTATTTAAACCCTAATCAAAATAGCACCATGTGACACAATAAACCTCCACCACCTCCTCCTCAGAGTCCTCCAAGTTCTCTTAAGATTTGCATCTAGCCAATGTAGACTCATTGATGCTCCTCTCCTCTTATGGTTCCTTCCCATTGCTAGGCATCACTATGGTAAGGGCCAAGTGGTTAGGCTCTAGCGTGACCTTTCCCTTGATTTATTAATCATTACATCCCTAGTTGTGAGGAACAGTGCCACCTCATTTTTGCTTCTTGAGCAGTAGTCACAACTTTTTGGTCCTCAACTCTCTCTTTGAGACTGATGCCTTCATGAGCCGAGTAGACTCCCCCTTCCTAATGTGCACCTTCTTTGGAGGTGGCCCCTTCTTTTTATTGGTGGGCTTGGCGAACTCCTTAACAAGCCCCAACTTCATCTTCTCGCCTATCCTCAAAGGATTCTATAATGCTTTTGGAGTACTCATAGGCCTTGATGCCCTCTACATACATAGAGGAAACTATATCAAGGAGAATTGATAATTTAGTAAAAATAATAATAAGAAGAAATTCTTACCACAAAAGTTTTGAAATTATTCATGTAGTTGAGACAAATGAAACCATGGAGGATATGGAGTTTGAAAGCACCCACATGGGAATGACTCATAGAAGTTGAAGATTACAACCAACTCTTTGCATGTGGGGAATCACAAACCCAAGTGGAAGTGGTCGATGGGGATGCATAACTCAGCATCATATAATGTATTTAGGAGGTTGTCCTCATAACACTTGCATGTTGAAGTCACTGTGCATGAAGCAATAGCTGGAGTATGAGAGGTCAGTGTGCTCAATATTCACACATGACTCTGTGAAGTTGACGACTTGGGTGAATGTGGAACACAATTGTGTAGAGCAACCATGTGAGAAATAAGTGCACTCATAGGAGCAAAAACAAATATTAGGGAGAAAGATCATGAGATGAGGGATATGCCTTGGGTATTTATATACCTTTTACTATACATATATATTGAAGCACCCATATACATATTAAATTCACCAAATTTCATTTCCTCTCTTCATAAAATTTTAAGAGATTTGATGGTTATTTCTCACATGCTCAACAACTATCGCTAATTAAGTGTCTCACACACACTCGCCCATCATGTATTAAAATCTTATCTTCACAGCAACCATGGTGAATCATTCCTGTGTACATCAACTAACTCCTCATATGGCCTTACCCCCTTGCTCAACGTGATAAAATTCAAAGTCCAAAGTTGGTGCAGTTAATGTTCCAAATGTTACTTAACGATTGATCCTACTTTTCTTTGTAGGAGGGGTGGAAATAAGTATCTGAGCCACCTCTGTTAGCCAGACAATGCTATGCAAATCTCTAACCAATGAGATCCCAATCACCATGAACTCAACTCACCCTTGTTGAAATGCAACTTTCTTTGAGGCCTTCAAGCGAGGGCAAGGGATGTCTGCATGATTCATCTTCTTAGAACTCACAACTCACAAGATTTCAGGTCACACAAATAAAAGGGTAAATCTTCCTCAATATAAAATCTCAAATTATAGAAAATTGTGTGGAGTGTGTCAAATCATCATCATCAATGCGGCTCCACACAGTCATCAAGGCTAAAGTGAAAGCCTGGTAGTAAATTCTACATGTACTTTTTTATTTTATATATGGTAGTCACATTTAACACTTCATTCACTCATCCTTTTAACTGCTTGCCTTTCAAAGGGCTAAATGAATTGGGGAACTAAATGTATACTTGAATATGAATTTATAGGTATTTAATATGTAACTAGTAGGTTATGGAAAGAAACTTTCCCTTAAGAGGGCTTAGCATATGGAACTCATCAAACAAGATGCACTACTTGACTAAAATTCATAGAGGACTCACCTAGAGTAATCACTAGGCACAACTCACTTAGGCTTTCCAAAGGAGCTTGCCCTTTGTGAGGTGAACTGGGAATTTCTTATCAGGCTAATAACTTGCCACATACTTAGACCATTGCTTCAATTACTCACTTCTTTTTTGAGCGATCTCAAACAATAGCTTTCTTCTAGAGCAACCATCTTCTTCTTTCTCAACTATAGGAAATTGTCTACTCATAGAACCCTCAACCTACCTCTCCATGACCATCAAATTTACCATATCTGAAATTTCACTCACCCCTCTCTCGGGCAACCTGAGATCCCTCATATGATTTATTAGCAAGTCAACAAGTATGACAGTTACTGGTCCTCCTTTCATCAATACTTTCCATAGAACTCCCCCCTCTCTAGGGCAACTTGAGATCCCTCGTATGATTTATTAGCAAAGTCAACAAGTATGACAGTTACTAGTCCCCCTTTCATCAATACTTTCCATAGAACTCCCCCCATTCTCACTTGGCAATATTAAACTCACCCTTACACACTCAACATAACTAAGCTCACTAGAGATGAATCATAAATGCTTTATAACCCATGATCTCATTCAACTAATCAAGAGGAGACACATATTTAGGATAACATGTATTTTCTTACTTTTTTATACATTGTCTTTCCTATAGTCCTCATAACTTTATAAATATGGAGTGATGAGAATTTTTTGACTAATCTAGTGAACATTCTGCCAGGTTGAGACCTACAGCTTTTTGAGCATTCTGTAGCATTCTTCTCTACTCTTCACTCTTCATCCTCGCACGTCTCGGCTCACCAAATTGCCTTGCTATTAGAGTTGGATGTCATCCATGAATAAATTTGGATCCAACATTAAATCTTTATATGCTCATTAATCTTACTTTTTTGGAATGCCTCTGTTTTCCTAGTAATTGTGATGATTGGCTTTACTAAATATATAGTGTTTTAAGCCTTAACAAAAAAATAGTTACATCCGCTTAAGCCAAATAATTATGAACAAAAGGATTCCACCTTTATACTAATTCAATCGTAAGGGTTTATCTGGGTGTTAAAGTTGGGGAACAATTGGTCTCCTTATCACACTTGTAGTCCCAATTTTATATATTCTATTTGAAACAACTTATTTAAAATCTATTGTCTCAATCATAATTCGAGTTATGCACAAGAGTAAGAATTTTTAGGGCACAATTTTGAAATAATAATTTCAAAAACTAATTCTTATTAATTGTTTCGACTATCACAAAAATATTCATTAAACAACTTCAAAGAAAGTCTTATATTTTTTTATTTTATTATTAAAAGCTTTTTTTAAATTATATTTTTAAAAAATAATTAAGAAAAAAAGCCATTCAAACATACAAATGTTCTATTACCAAATAATAAAGAAGCTATAGCAAAGCAAGCCAGTATTACTTGGTGTCGGATCGACGAATTGTTCAAGTATTATTGGTTTGCCTTCTTTGAACGAACCGGTCCCTGGGACGATTGCAATTCGCAACCCTACTACCTCCAAGAGCTCGAGTAGAGGAGCAGACAGCGGGCGCTCTCCTCTCCGTATCTCTCCACCCTTGTGCCCAACTGCAGCGAGTTTCGGGGCATTTTCAACCCTCTTCTTCGCTTTGGAGAAGTTTTTAAACCTCCCCTCTGATCTGGATGCAAAGGAGTGAAACCCGGCGTTTTCACAGCAGGAGAAGCTTCGAAATCTGGTGCTGCTTTATCCCCCCTCCTAAAATATCTCTGCCGGTTTTCCTCTTCCCCACTCTTTATTTTTCATGCCATTGAAGGTAGGAGTTGTTCACCTCATATGGGGGAAAAAACTGTAGTGTATTCTCTTTCGTGCTTCTCGACCATGGGTTTCTCGCATGATATGTTCAGTTAGGTGAATGATAAGTGAGTCGGAAGGTGATGCTTTTCTTTGGTTTTCCTCTTTCTATGGTTCGAAGGGATCGATAGTTGCTGCAATGCTTGAGTTTCACGCTCCGAATTAAAGTTCTTGTAAAGGAATTACCTTACACTTCTTTTTTCAGATTTTAAATTAATGTGGTTAAAAGGCGTAATTCTGCTAGTGGGGTGCGAATCAGTTGTATCAATAGAACAATGCTGCGACATTACTCCACACTGAGTTTACTGCCTTCGTTTTGTTGGGCTGTTGCTGTTGGTAAAGCAGGTCATGAAGCTGCTTCTGGTAAAGTAGGTCATGAAGCTGTTTCGGGTAAAGTTCATTAGACGGTTACTGTGGGTGACCCACCTTGTGCTGGTTGATAAAATATGTGGTGTAGATGTACTCATGTTCTTTATAAAATATAAGAACATGTTTTTTTATGCTTGTGTTATTGCATGATAAATAGGGGTGTAATTGAGCCAATGGTTTCCTGAGACAGCTTGATCTCAGCTTGATTGGTGACTCATGAGCTGAGCTTGACAAGCCAAGGTAATGTTGAGATAGTCATGACTTGAATTGTCAGCTCATGAGTGAGCTCATTTTAAAATATTAGCCTAGAATTTACTTAAAAATATCCAATTCATGGGTAATTACAAAGTAATATAAAATCAAAAATTCTAGTTCTCTTTTGCTCTCCTAATATCTAATTAATTTCCGACCATTTCCTCTTTAGAGTCACATTCATCTTTGCTTGTTCATTAGAAGATGAGAAGAGTGGAACTCACATTGAGCTTGGTTGATTAGTGAAACCTCATGCTCAATTTTGGGGGCTTTCGAGCCCGACTTGATTGGCTAAACTTTTCAGGTTTAATGGCCCCAATGCCATTATTTTTCTAATATTTATATCCTTGTTAAGTTTAAATTATTCCTAAATTGTACCATCCATTTTTTAGTTAGCCTAATTAGCCTTTTGAAGCTTTTATTAAGCACTAAAATGATAACCTAATCATTGCTTAGTGATATTTTAATATTTTCTATTCTTTTAATTAGCTTTGTAGAAATTTGATAATATTTAATTAGTCCTATCTAAGCACTAATCAGCATATTAAACCCATTTAATCCTTAATTAAATCTCAGGTTTATATCCTAAGATTAATTACTATTTCATTTAATTGATCTTTGATTGGTTAATTATTTTAACTATAGTAATTTAACTATAATTTAATTCCATTTAGAAATTTGGCCTAACAAAAATGAAAGTTAAGTTTCTTGTCATTAATTGGTGACTTCCTACATGCTACATTTGATTGACTGAAACAAATTTAACTGGACTAACTGAAGTTTAATTTATATGAAATTAGTTACATCTACATGCTAATTAACCTAAAGACATCCTATTTAGCCTTAATTAGAAAGTAAGCTATTCCCTAATTTTAAATAACACCATTGTAACCTTGCACTTTCTTGATGCCTACATGAAGGGTGAACTTACTTGCGGAGCAGCTTTTCTATCTTCATGAGATTGCTAATGACTTTTATTTTGCACCAAATAGCATAGCACAACCAGATAACATCAGCAAACATGTTTCATGTGATTGTAGATCGGCTATTCTCAAATTGGAAACTACTGATGAAGGATGCATAATAATAAGGCTGCCATGCTCTTGGCCATGACACTTAAAATCAAATTATGATGTCTGAAACGCCTTTTCTTTAATTGCTGTTTGGAGCACAATTTGGCCATCTGTATCAATTATGTACCTTCCTTTTCACAAATCTTACATGTAGTAATCTTCTAATTCTGAGTCTTTACTTGCCTAGCTATGGCCTGGTAAATGTTAAGGATAGATTGGAATTTAGATCCTAAACTAAGAATTATGGGTTTTCTTTGAACTTCAACTTGAGTGCATGGTTTTTACATCATAACTTGCTTGAACTTGAATTACAATAGTGTGAAGCATTGTTGCCAGTTCTATCCTATATACCCATCAGCGAATATATGTTCTCATGGTCTTGGCCACATGTTAGTGTTTCACCCTCTTTTTGACATCAGCTAAAATTACAATTCTCGACTTCTTTCTCTTATAAGAAGCATGACGAGCTTGCTACTCAGATGTTCATCTAAACATGCATTAGCCTATAGACGGTCAGCTATATTATGTCATGGATTCAATGTGTTTCTATGCCCTTTTGTCATGCACTTGTCATTACAGTGGTTAGTAGAAAGATGCCATAGTGTGAATCGATACTTCTGTTTTTTGGTTTTCCTATGCCACCGAATTTGCTATCATGGTTGGTGGTGGCATCTTATGCATTAAAGGCTCTTACAATGCCACAAATATGATAAGATACACTCCTTGATTGATACCAGAATAGACTATGTGATAACGATGCTCTGCCATGGCTAGGTTAATTCTAGTTGGCTGCTCCAATTTTGGAAGTGATCATCAAGTTGTACACTTACAGCTAATGAAAATTTAGATGATCTTTGCTGGATATATTGACATTCTTACTGCCAGCAGGTTGTAATTATCACATTTCTTTTTTGTTGAACTTCATAATTAGATTGAAGAATGTTGCAGCAGACTGACATTACTTGGATGGAATTAGAACTGAAGTTGAGATCTAACACATTTATTTAATAGTTAGTTTTAAATTTGTGGTTGGCATATATCTGGTAAAAGCTTTGAATTGCGTAGGCATTAGCTAATTTTTACATTTTCGATGGTATGCCTGCCTCAAACAAGTTCTTGAGTGAAATTGACCTTGATTCCTTATTGTTAAGCAGTCGAGAAGTCCATTATCATCATGACATGGTCAAGTTAGACCCACTATAGTTTATGATAGTATGCTCATTGACTTCAGTATTCTTTTTTTGGAAACAATTGCCAATGTTGCCGTGTTCAAGCAAGCTATTTTTTTTGGCATCTATCATTGTTAAATGCATCTTACTTGGGTGACATCTTTCAATTGAATATTAAGAAGAATAGACTCATTGTATGATGAGGTTCAATCATGGTTTTATCCTTGAGCATGAGTATGCACATTTCATTCAACTTTCACCCAATGGTCTGCCATTGCAAGGTGTGGAAGTAAGAATATAATTGGGCTTTCATCAACCAAATCTTGAATGTTTAAATAGTTTTCTCAGTCATACTGATAATCAACCATCCATTTTATATTGAAAATTGATGAGGAGGTTGCATTAAAGGGGTTTCATGATTGGGTGCTGGATACATTGAGGATACTTTTTTTTTCATGCGAGAATCATTTTACTAATAAGACTTAAAATGGTGAATTGGCTTATCATTTGAAAATTTGTGTCTGACAATGCTAATTATTAGGCCTGAAGCTTGAAACTTATTTGATAATCATTTGATTTTAATTGACCCAAAATCAATTTGCTTCAAGTTGAGGATGACTCACTTGAAATAAATTCATGGCAACTCAAAATGACTAGATCTTTGTATATATATATATATATATATATATATTTGTGTCCCCATAGGCACATAGGTAAGTTTTAATGTAGCCAAAAAAAAATGTATAAAGAAAGAGGGGTTTAATTTCCTTTAAAGACAAGAAAAATATATGAGTAATGTGGAGATTCACTCACCCTAAATTATGGGGACCCGACTACCCATAATAAGAGGAGATTTACTCACACAAAGGGTACTCACTTGCCTATTAGGTTAGAGAATCGCTCACTCAAATATGATGAATCTCTCACTTTAAAATCCTTAGGTATTTTCTTGAAATCTTTCCATATGTATGCCTTTTATAACCTAAAAGTGAACTCTTGGCTAATTAATGCACTTTTGGAAGGGTGATGATTGGTTGCTAGGAAGTAAAATTTGAATGAGGTGAATGTGTGGTAAGTAGTGGTTGTGAAATACTATAACCATCCAATATATACTTCATTAATCTTCCTTTTATTGAAGAAAACTCAGCTTGAACTCACGAAGTATCTGTATCATCATGGTTCATCAAGCTTATGAAATTGCTTGAGTTGAAATATAGATAAATTTATTTTGATATCAATTTGATGTAGCCTATAAAAAAGGAAACTTCAATTGAATATAGAAAGAAAGAGGGATTTCATTTATTCCGAAAGAAAAATTACTTGAAGTTTTCACTCGCACAATATGTGGGATTTACTCATCATCGCTATCAATGATTTACTCTACAAATGGGAACTCACTTATCTATTAAATTGGGACCTTAAACCTTAAAAGTCTTAATTGTACTCATTTGTGCATTACATTGAGAAATTAATTACCCTGGAATCTCTCACTCTTTCCCCCTTATGTTCTCTCCCCAAACTCATCCATATCCATGCCTTTAAAGCATAGAAAAGGAACTGTTGGCCAATTTTATGTGGTTATTGGAAGGTGGATGGTTGTTGGAAAGTAAAATTGAATATGTGGATGATGGGTGGTAAGTAATGGTTGCAAATAAAAATTGAATGATGTGTATAATGGGTGGTAAGTAGCAGTTGGGAAGTATAATAACCATCAAATGTACAATTCATTAGAAAAAAAAAAATTAGTAAAGTTGAACATAGATTGGAAAAGGATTTTATCATCTTACCGGTAAAAAAAATTACATGAGATAAAGTGGGTAGTCATCCACCCATAATATTCAGGGAACCACTCATTATATTGAATAGTCGCTTACCCCAAAATGAGTAATCTTTTTCTCTCTCTTTTTCTTTCATTCTTATGCTCTCTCCCAAAATATTTCTATTTCTATGCCTTTCATATCCTAAAAAATAACTAGTCTAATAAAATGAGTTTGTTAGAAGGGGGATGATCTGTGGTTGGAAAGTAAATTTGAATTAGCTGAATGGTTGGTGGTTAGTGGTAGTTAATAAATACAATAACTAGTAAATGCAGACTTTATCAAATATTAGTATTTGTAAGTTTTATGTTGTTGATGTAGGCAAAGGGGGGTCAACTTAAACCCAAAATAAGTTGGTTTTGACTTCCCTTGAGCTTACTAGCTCAATAAATTTTGAGCTGGAATTTAGCTCATTTATGAGCTGATTTTTAGTTCATTTATTGAACTAAATGTTAGCTCATTATTAGTTAAGTTTTAGTTCATTAGTTATCTTAATTATGTAATTTTTATTTATAGTTTTTATGTCTTAAATTTAAGTTTGTCTCTTGGAATTCCAAAATGGCTTTTGGAATCCCAAGGTTGTTTGTTTTCCCGTGCCTTGGCTCCTTGGTTCCCAAGGTGGGCTACTGGTTTTCTGAGCTGGGGGCCTTTCCGTGCCTTTTGGCTCCTCGGTTCTGTGCGGGCCTCTTTGGTTCCGTGGCTGCTCCTTCGGTTCCCTGGCCGGGCTATTTTCCGGTGAAAAGCTGGGGGCTTTTCCGTGGTTGTGGTGCTTGGTTTCCTGTGGGAATTCAATTAAGTGTCTGTTTGTATTCCCCCTTTCATACCTATAAATATGAGGGGTTTTGTAATGTTTTAAAAAAGTGATATATGAATTTTTGAAAAGAAATCCTTGGGATTTTCTTGGAGGAGCTTGCGATCTTTGTCCACCTTCTTCTTCCACCTCTTTGAGGAGACTTGCGAGTTCTTCTCCACCTTTCTTCTCGGGCTTCTAATCTCTTTCGTCTCTCCGCAAGTTTACACCCCACCTGTATCCTTCTTCTCAAGTAAAGCAAGTTTAGGGTGCCTTTAATTTTTTATAGAGTCAAGTTTGTAAGAGTTCAAGTCCTATTTTGTAAGTCTTTTAATTTCTAAGTCTTTATTTTATTTGAAATGTAAGAGTTTGTTCGTTTTATTATGTAGGAGTCTTTTTCTTTTATCTAGTAAAGGTCTTACCCTACTCTTTGTGGGCAGAGATCCTCGGGTCCCCCATCCCCCGGATTTTTGCCCGCATCAGTTGTTATATATAGAATGCTTTTCTACACAATTACTTGGCTATTTATGCTTCAGATTTTCTTAAAAAGTCATTTATATTATCTATTTATTCTTCAGATTTTCTTAATAGTTTTTTATTTAATATTTGCATGCTTGCATGGCATGTGTATGTGGAAGGTTTTGATTATATTGTTATTTGTGGGTGAGGGGGATAAGTTAAGATGTATTCAGCCTTTTGGGTACTGGTGTGTTCTTAATTTTTTTTTTCTATGGAAGAGCTTCATAATATGATATTTGATTTTTGTCTGACTGATCATTCTCTTTGTGGTTATCAATTTACTTGGTTTAATAGTTTGATAGTTTGATGTTTGAAGGGTTGGATCTATCTTTTTTGCCTTTTGATTGGTCGACTTACTTTGATTGTTCTAGATTGGAACACCTTAGTTGGACTCTTGTGATCATGTTCCTCTATTACTAAGTGCCTATAAACTTTGTATATTTTGGTTATCTTCCATTCAGGTTGTTGAACATGCGGGCTAAACATCATGATTTTCTGTCTTTTGTGAATGTTTACAAATTTGCTTTTTTCATATAAAAATACCTTAACTTTTCTTAAATATAGAGCGCTGAAATTGTTTTAACTGTTGGAGCAGGGATCACCTATGTTCATGAAGATTTACTGTTAGCAGAGGAGGAATGGATGCCGCTTTTAGCACACAGATATTAACTGAGAAGCTATCTAAACTCAATAATTCTCAACAAAGCATTGAATGTATTCCTTATTGAGCTTGTTTCATGTTTGTATTGCTGTTGTTGATTTATTACGTAACAGCTTTCTGTTTTTCTAGGTTTGATAAGATTTAATTTGGCTATGTTTTCAACTAAACCTTGTGTGGATATATTTACTATTTGATGCTGTTAAATCCAATTAAATCTATCCATGTTAATAAAAATATTGTGATTATTTCGTGCAGTAATTTGAAAATTAAATTTTGGAAATAGCTCTTAGTAGATATTGGCTCTATTGTTTCATGTATGGTGAAAATCCTATTTTTACCACTACTATTTATTTTTAGGTATAGTTGCATCCACAATCTCATTCAGGAAAATTCTTTAGTCATCCTTGTTTTAACATTATGTATCCTTGGAATAAAGGCAGAGTATGTCAATGAAGTGGAATGATTTTAGTTCTAAATGTATTTCTTGCATCATCATAGGCTGATCAATGGAGTAGCTTTCTATGATCTTTGAGAACTTTAAGCATCTTATGTCATCTGCCATTAAATGCATTGCTTGTGTTGTCAGCAACTAATAATGTCCTTTGCTATTATTGTTTATATTGTTGTAGTAGCATATTTATTCACCTCTTTATTTTCTTCCCTGTTGTCCTCTTCCCACACCCTTCTTGTCAATCATGCCTTATGAAGTATGCTGTCGATGTCAAACATGTTTGGATACAAACATGACTCCGATACACCTCAACATGTGTGACACTTCAGAAATTATTTGAAAGTTTTTAACTGTGAACTTGGACTTGACACTTATCAGACACAGCAGGGCACACATAACCTGAAATAATGGAAATTAAAATCGAAACTTGCAAAGGAAATTATACTTGTAGTATTGTGTATGTTAGCTGCCCCAGCACTCCGCGATACGATCACATCTATGGATTTTCTTGCATTTCCACCTCTTCGGTTGAACGAAACCATCTTGCATCTCCCCTTTTTGACGAATGTTTTGCGTATCTACTTTTTTGGTGGTTGTTTGGCATCTCCACCTCTTCTTCTTTGAAGCCATACCATGCCCTTTAAAGTCATTCCATCAAAGCTGAAGCCAGGTCGTTCTCTTCAAAGTCCGTAATCCCATTCAGTTGAAGCTGTTTTGTGTTGTGACCTTTAAAACCATCTTCAACCCTAAACCCGTGCCCTCATGCTAGCTATCTCAGCCACCATTGAAATCTAGTTCATGCCATTCCATTTTTTCCATAACATTATAATGATGGAGTCAATGTTACTAAAACAAATAAATCTTCGCAAACAACACAGTTTCAACTTTGACACGGTATTAGGCATTATCTTGCTTTTTAAATATAATTTGAATGAGACCACGATGTTACGAAGATTTTTTTTGACTCAATTTATTTTTCATGCAATTTTGATTGTATTATAAATATATTAAGAAAGTATTATTATATATTAAGTAGTTTTAAGGACAACTTGAATATATAGGCTATATATTCATGGGCTTAGTTATTAGGTAGTTGGCAATTTTAATCATAAAAGTAGAATTAACTTGTAGATTTTTAAGTTTCTTTTATTATTTAATAGGATATGGACTTTTGAGATGAGTACTAATATGGTTGATAATAATCTCATAAAGGATGGGATAATCATTATGGGCATATGTTATCAAATTAAACAAATTAGGAGCAATTGGATCAGGAGGCCATATAGAATTTTAATGTAATTTCTGCTAAAAAAAAGGTTCAAAGGGACATTTTAGAGATAGATTTCACTTGGCCCAAAAAACTTGGGGAAGACATTTGATGATGCTTCAAAATAACGTCCACAGATTCAGGAAGTGCAAAATTAGATGCTGAAGTGAGCAAGACAAGAAGAACGCTGCATTTCAGAAGTTCCCCCTTCCTTCATTTGGGGCAAAATAAATTCATCCAATATTTGTAGCTCACAATTAAGTGAACATCTATTTAGCGTCCATATCTATGTCCCAAAAAATAGGAAAGCTTCGGGATCTATTGCTATTGAAAGAGTATTTAATTGCAAGTTAGAGATTATTTGCATGAAGAATCTCTTGTCTGTTCTTTTCATTTTATTTAGCAATAAATATTTATTACTTTAGTGCTTTCTCATGTGCAGCCAACAAAACACTTATTGGATATTTTCTTCTTGGTTATAATCTATTGAGGATAATATTGTTTCAAAAAGAATGAACAATTATTGAAAGAATGCTTGAACCAATCAAAGATGCCAATGTTTGATACTACGCAATCGAGTATTGAGATGTTTTCTTTTATTAAGGAAAGGTGCAAGCCTCAAGGCATTTCGAGGTGTAAGTGATGTAGAACGGAAACGCCGGCTTTGCTACGGAGAGAATCTTTTCTCCAAAATCTGAGGTTGTTCCTTGCAAAAACTGAAATAAATCTGGGTTTATCCCAGCTCACAAAATCTGAAATTTTCTTCAGGTTTTTATTCAAAACCTGAGAAAATTCTCGGGTAGGAGGATTGAATCATTCTAACAGCCAATCGTGGTCTTCCAAAGCGCTGGACAGCAAGACATCTTTGCTGGCATAAGTGGACAGCAGGCTGTATGGCTCAGGAACTCCAAACAGCAGCTATAAGAGGGCGTTGGACAGCAGCAGGAGGGTTCTGGCAGCAAGCTATATTGACTTTCCTTTGCTGGAATTCTCTGGCTGCAACCTTAGAAGGCAGAAAATTCCACGATAGGTGGAATTTGGAGAGTGATTTGTAAGGGGGGAATTAATGTGCAGGAATTGGAGAGTTTTGCCAGCAACGGAAAGGAAGAGTGACGGGAATTGAAATCAAGGAAAACACTTTTTTTTTTTGGCCAGGTGGGAGTTACGGGATTGACGAGTTGAATTAGAGAATTAACTCCTAAATTCACTCTCAGTTTTGGAAAGTTATGAATGGCCTTAGGCTTTGGAAATGGATTTCAAAATCAATTTAATAAAGGAGAGGAGGCCGGCTGTATCTGGAGCTGAAGGTGGAAATTCTTTCTTAATTCCCATGGCAGTTTTTTTTAGGAAAGAACTAACGTTTGGCCCGTTGAAAATTTCAGCTGCTATTATTTTGGGTTTCCAAAGGTGGATGATAGGGAACAATTAAGACTTCTTAATTTGGGTTTAAAAGGATTAGGAAAGAAAATAATTCACTCCATTTGAATTTTGAAATTTCAAAAATCTGAAATTTAATTTCAGTTTTGATTGAAATTGGGGGGAAATTCTGAGATTTTATTTTAGAATTGATGACATAATGAAATGCCTAATTATTAAGAATGAATTAAGCAATAAATAAATTTGAATTTTGAATTCAAATTCATCGTTAACTTAATCCCTCCAATTTAGGAACGACAATTAATAATTGGGGCAAAGGGAAGGGAGGTGGTCGGCGGGTTGTGAAGAGGTGGCCGGCGGGTTGTGAAAAGGTGGCCGGCGGGATGGTGAAGAGGTGGCCGATGGCTTGGGTGGAGGATGGGGATGTCGACAAGGAGAAAATGAAAAGATAACGAAAAGAATAAAACCACGAACCCGGCCGTCTCCAAGGTTGGTGGGTGATCCGATTGCCCTTCTCCAAGGGACTTCAAATCACGAGCCCGAACCCATCCTGCGGCTGGTGACAACTTCGATTCCACCCATAGGAATCTCACAAACGCTCTCTCACAAGAAGAGCACAAGTGTGAAAAAAAAACAAAAATTTCATATTCATTAACCATCCCATTACAATAGATTAAGGCCTTATATATAGGCCATAACATGAGAAAATCAAAATTACAAAAATGCCCTTGGGCCAAGACACTCACATAAACTATCCTAGGGGTAAAATAGGAAAATACATAAAACAAGAGCTAAAATTCAGAAAATAATACATAAATGAAAATTTAAATAATGGCCGTCGATTTACGACGCCGCCTGTGATAGATGCGCCAAATCTTCGTATTGATGTCCGCATCAGTAAGCTTCAAAATTAAGCCATTAACTTAATTAAAATATAAAATAATAAATACTGTACTAATATTAAAGTAAGATGCTAAAATAAGAGAATGAAAAGTAAAAGTAAGCCACTAAAAGCAATATAAGGCAAAAAACAATGCTAACAAAAATTCTTATAGTTTAACATAAAAAAGTAATTTAATGTCATAATATATGAATTCAAAAGGCTCCCTTTTTCTTACCACGTAGAGGTCTTCATTACAATAATCATTATAATTAATTGCTTTCTCTTCTCCTTAATAATAAGAAAATAGGTGTTGGAGGAGAAGCAACAACGATATTGTAGTGACAACGATGACATGGCGTATCGTGTAGCTGTGAGTTTTTAGATTATTTGGTTCTTCTCAAATTCGAATCGGTTTAGGTATATTAAATATATTTAATTATGTATGCACTTACATATATGTGTATATGCGCGTGCGCACACATTAAAATTTAAAATGACCTAAACACTAATTTTTTAGGCTTATGCCTCTTCAAAATTAAACTATAATTGAGTTGTAGTGTATCTTGAGGTGTGCCTCACCCCATTGAGGTGGAGGCATACATCTTATTATCTTATTTTTCTTCTTTTTTTTAATTGTGTTAATGCAAGCCTTGAGGCGGGCTTCTGATTGCGCAATGTAAACCATGAAAGAGGCTTGAGAAGGGAGTTACTATTATTTGTGATGGTTGAATAGATGCACAAAGAAGACCCTTAATTAATTTCATGGCAATTATGGAATTTGGGCCTATGTTTATGAAGGCCATTAACTTCTGAAGAAGTGTATGAAGATAAGAAATTATTATAGGGTATGTTCCTATGAAGTGGTTCTAAGTAATCACACTGATATTGCAGTAGTTTGCGGAGCTGTAGGAATTCTGATTAAGACTCAGTAACCTCATTTTTTTGTACTCGTTGTGGTGTTCATACATTGAATCTTGCATTGAAGAGTATTTGTTTTCCAAAGAATATAGAATGTGACAAGAATGGAATTGGATTACAAACATAACATGCGATGCAAACTTCATTAATACATTCA